AACTGGTGGCTACTGAGCCCATCATCACAGCTCTTGGTAGTGCAGGCCTTTCTGGGCCCCTGGCCTGCGGAGACTGGTTTCTAAGAAGGACTCGGTTTAGTGTGGTCCAGACCCACCTTGTCCACTCTTGAGAACCAGAAGGCCCCTGTGCAAACTAAGTTGAGTATTGTCAGTGCTCAAACATGCCAGTGATCCCACCTCATTCAGCAAGAGTTTGTGTTCAGCACGTGATCTCTCCATCTCCCTGCTGAGCTCACTCCACTCCAGTCTCATCAACTTGCCTCAGGGCCTTTGCTGTTTCCTCTGTTTGAGACACTTCTCCAAAGGCAGTTCTCCCTGGTCCCTTTCAGGGCTTAATTCAAGCAGACTTACAACTTACAGTCTACCCCACCCCCATCCCCTCCCCACCATCCCTACCCCAGTATTCCCTAATGCCCTCCAGGCTTTATTCTTCTTTTGGGCCTTTATCATCACTTAGCATACAGCGCGGCATCTCATTTCTTTCTCTTGCTTATCAGAGTCTGTCATCCCTGCTCTATTGGAAATTTTATAATAGGAAGGTTTCTTTGTTGTTCACCACTGTGTCTCCAGAAGCTAGACCTGTATATGGCACATTGTTGTTGTTGTTAAGTGCCGTTGAGTCAGTTCCGACCCATAGCGACCCTGTACAGGGTTTCCGAGGGTGTAAATCTTTACGGGAGTAGAAAGCCTCCTCTTTCTCCCGCGGAGCGGCTGGTAGTTTTGAACCGCTGACCTTAAGGTTCGCAGCCCAATTCGTAACCACTACGCTACCAGAGCTCCTTATATGGCACATAGTAAGTGCTCAATAAATACTTGCTGTAGAGATGGAAAGGAGGGGGGAAGGAGGAGAGATGAAGAGGTGATAGAGAGATGGGTGGGTGGAGGTGTCTCCCCAAAATGATATGACAAAGTTCCTAGCCCCCCTGTACTAGGTGACTGTGTTTGGAAATAGGGTTGTTGTTTCTATATGTTTAAACTTAAACCAACAAGGAAATATCAGAATAGGAGGGCCCTAAGCCTAATCCCTTTGAAGTGATTATCTTAGAGAAACAGATATGGAAACAGACACACAACACAGGGGGAGGTAGCCTGTGAGAATCCATCCACAATCCAAGAAATACTGAGATATCTGGGGTACCAGAAGTCAAAAAGGACGAGGAAGAATCTACCCCCAGATGTTAAGGCCTTGCACTTAAACGTCTCGTCTCGAGAACTGTGAGACACTTTGTGGTATTTTGTTATGACATCCCTGGGAAATGAAGGCTATGCTTAACAAACAGCTGGTGAGACTGCACAATCCATATTTCAGGGGTTAACAGCACCAGCTCAGAGGCAAGGAGACTTGGGTTCGAATCCTGATTGTTTCATTTACTAGCTGTGTGACCTTGAACAAGTTGTTCTCCTCTCTGAGCTTCCCTGTAAAATGGGGTCACAGCAGAACTTGCCACCTTTACTGGTTATTCGTTCCTTGTTGCTGGGTCCCTTTGAGTCAATTCTGCCTCAGAGGGTTTCCGAGGTTGTAATATGTAAGGGGGCAGATTCAGGTCTTTTCTCCCACAGAGGCTGACCTTTAAGTTAGGTTTGTGCCACCTGGGCTCCTTCATAGAAGATGCATTTGTAAGGTGTTGTCCCAGTGTCACACAGAAACCTCAACAGAGTTGCCCAGTGTAATTATTACTATTAAGAAGGCAGCCAGGTGTCACGCTGATTGGAGGACACAGACTCAGCCTGCCCTCAGGAGGTCTAGCTTATATATATTATTAAAATATAATGAGTCAACAGCCCTGATGGAGAGAGGAGCCAGAGCCTGAAAGCCTCCTTCCTCCCTTGAGAAAATCAGGGAAGGCTTCCTGGAAGAGGTGGCATCTGAACAGAGGGCTGAAGCACACATGGGCAATGACCAGGTCTTGTGAGTAGATGGGAGAACATGCCAGACAGAACATATGGCAGACACAAAGGCCAGGAGGTCTCACACCATCTTCACAGCAAAGAAATGAGCATCCTTATTTAACAGGTCCTAAAACAGAATTCAGAGAGGTGAAGTCACTTGCCTAAGGTCACACAGCTAGGGAGCTGTGTGATGGGAATGAAGGGCAGTCTCATTCTGGAGCTAGAGAAAACCCAATAAACCAGTGTCTGGGAGAGACAGTGAGCACCAAGAAGAAGCCCCAGCAAGACAGGGTGCAAGCAGAGGAGACACAGCCCCCCTACCTCTGCCCCTAACTAAGGAATCCCCACAGCCCCACTGAACAGGAAGGACGGTACCTCCATTAGGTCTATAAGCCACAGCAGCCGCTCCTGGGGAGGGAGGGTGGGCGAAAAAGGCAAAAAGAAGAGGACATAAAATAAACATGAAGGATGGGGTGGGAACAGCAACAACCCCCTCCCAAAGCAACATGCCAGCACACAAAGACAAAACAAGCATGACTCTCCAAATCCCTTTCTGTTTACCTTGAATACTATGGGCAGGGATAAAGACTATCAGGGGAGTTGGGGTTGAGCAGGAAGCAAAGACACTGCCGCCTCAGCCAACACCCCTTGTTCTGCCTGACTCCTTGAAGGAAACCGTGGGGCCCACTCCCCTGCAGATGTTCCACTTGTCCTTGAGGAGGGCTACAGGACATGGTCACCCTGAGACTGCTCGGGAAGCAGGGCTGGGATTCTGATTCCCATTTGGCTCAGAGGAGGAAAGTGACTTGTCCAAGATCACACCCACCAATAAAAGAACCCGAACAGGGAAGCCTCAGTCAGAGGATTGATTTCAGGGAGCCCTGGCCCTGGAAGGGCAGAGGTCGGGGGAGCTCTGGGGAGGGGCTGTGTATCTAGGGGAGGGAGCCAAAAGGGTTAGAGATGGCATGGCTGTCCGTCAGCCCTGGACCTTCAGGTGGACACCAGGCTTGGATGCAAACGCCAGGTGGTTTTCCCAGCCAGGCTGAGTCAAAAATAAGAGGTGTGTGGGGACCCTTTCTGGGATGTTAGCACTAATTGGGTGGTTCCTCATCCTGGACCCACAGGTATGCTCTAATTTAATCCTCATGACACCTGGCAGTGGCTGCATCACGCATCCCAAGGCAGGTGAGGAAACTGAGGCACAGAGAGATGACGTGACCTTTTGACCTTTTGTCTCTCCACACTGCCTCGCCTTCCAGCCCAGCTTTTTCTTAGACTCCACCTCCAAGAGCTCACCTGGTCTTGGTTAGCCTGAATCCTGACATGATGTGCTACCTGGGAGTCAGTCTCATCCCAGAAGCTTGGGAGGGGCTCCAGGACCATCCCTTCCATCCATCTCTCAGACCATCCTATGGCCTTGCTGAGCTCTGCCTTCGCCAGGGTGTCCAATCTGCTGCAAAGGGCTCTCTGGTGGGTCCGGGTCTATACTGAATTAGGGTCCTGACTAGCCAGGAAGAGACCCTGGGCAGAGACAAGGTCTCTACACTGCACAGAGGCTGGGGGCTCCTGACCGCTGTCTGCTATCCTTTTCTGGAATAGTTAACTGGACCGCTTGTGCTCCCGCCTAAAATGCTGGTCTTTTCACAGATGGGAAAACTGAGACCCAGAGAGGCTTAGAATTAGATCTCCTGCCCCCGAGGCTATCTCACACTTGATTCTAAAGGAACCATCACAGAATCACAGTCTGTAACTCACAAGGTGTGTAAGAGAGGTGCTGCTACTAAAACCCCAAGTGGACATTATTAAGGCCAATCTCAGTGGGACTGGACACACAGAGACATGGCCTCTTAGGCCAGGGCACTGTAGCCTCCTAGACTATGCAGAGCCAAACAGGCAGCCCCAGGCAGGAGGGGCCTCTTAGGGAGCTTCCCTGAAGACCATGTGGCAGCATGAAACTTCCTCTTGGTCAGCCACGTCCAGAGCCCTAGAGGAATGCACAGTGATCATCCCAGGAAGGGGAGAGGACTCCTGGGGATGAAGGTGACACAGGATGTGGGGAAGGACACAGAGCACCGAGTTCAGGAGCAGCCACACTGAGAATCTGAGAATGACAGGGTTGCACACTCCGGGCCTGTTTCTGGGTGACTGGGAGCGCACCTGTGGCTACCTGTGTGCCAAGCTGGACATCCCTGTCCCCCTGAGCTCCCCTGTCAAATAGGACTAATGGAGTCTGTCCTGAAGTAGCTGGCTTCCAGGTCTGCCTGCTCCCAGACGCAGAAGTAAAAAACGCTACCTTCTTGTCTCCCTTTCTTTGAGAGTGGTAATGAATTACCAAACATGAAACAAGAGGATGGGAGAAAGGTTCAGGACCAGAAAACTGACTCTCCTGACCTCCAGTCCAGGCTCTTCCCATTCATCACGGGATGCGCGCCAACCAATGCTGGGCCCATGATGGATTACGAGGCCTCTCACCTACATCTTCCTGGCAAAGGTCTCTTGGAATTCATGGGCCTCCAAGCATCATGGGGGCAGAACTCCACCCTGAGAGGTATCAGGTGCATTCCCATGGGCTGGAAGTCTGGGAGCAAATCAGGCTGGGCTTGGGGCTTCATAGACAAGAGGGTGGACTCTTGAGGCACATCACAATCACAATGAAAACACCACCACCACTGACTGAGAGCTCACTGGGAGCCAGGCACGTGCAAAATGCTGGACTCTTGTTTTATTGCTCCTCCCACAGGTTGTAGTTATTTTTTTCTATTTGTCTAATTATCTGTATGTTGTTGTTTTTTTCCTTTCTCCCCCAGCCCTGCTCCCTAGACTGAGAGCTCCATGAAGGAAGGGACTGTTTCTATCTCATTGATCAGTTGTCCCCTAGAACCCGTGCCTGGTACACAGTAGGCTCTCACCAAGTAGACTTGGTTTAAACAATGAAAAAACTGAGGTTCAGTGAGGCAAGCCACAGACCTGGTAAACTGTGGTGCTGGGATTTGAACCCAGCTCGATCTCACTCCAAAGCCAGTATCTTAACTTACCTGCTGGGTCATCCAGTTGGGGACAGAGCAGGGGCAAAGGCTGAGGCAACTCACCCTGGCTGAGCTGACAGTGGTGGAGGTGCCATGGCTTCCTGTGGACGAGGCTGTGTCACTATAGGATACCATGGAGTAGGTGTCGCCGGCCACGGGGCCTGGGGCCTGCCGTGCCTTCATTGACTCAATCTCCCGCCTCAGCACCAGGTGGTCGAAGCGGTCCAGGTCTTGAGGGGAGATGATGCCTCTCACCTCGGAAAGGAGAGAGAACTGGGGCAGGGACAAGCAGGGTATTCAGATGGGAGTCCCAGCAGCAGATGAAGCCAGCCTCACTCTCTATCCTCCAATGGCTTACGTGCAAACGTGACCACCGCCTTCCCCTCTTTAACCCTTTGTGGCTCCCTATTGCCCTTCCCATTGTCCAAACCATTTTTGCCTAGACACTGAGTCCAGCATCATCTGCCTCCAGCTTCTCTCTTAAACTTTGCTTCTTCCCACTACAATCTTACCTCTCATGTATGACTAACTCCCCAGACACACCATCACACCTAATCCTTGGCTGTCCCTGCCACCTAGATACCCTTCTACCTACTTATCTCCAAATTATGCTTCCTCTGGTTAGTTTTGCCAAATGCAACCACTCCTTCTAAACCTCAAATAGGCTTCCTTCCACTAGAGCAGGGCTCTCAAAGTTGGCAGCATGGCACCACCAACTGGGGTGCGGGTGGGGGCTGTTACAAACACTGCTGCCTGGCTCCCATCCATAGAGATGTGTCTGGGATGGAGCATCGACAAAGCTTTTAAACAGCAATCCAGGTAATTCTAAAGATGCACTCAGCATCCAAAGCCACTGCATCAGAGTCCCACTGACACGGCCGGGTGGGGAGCTGTCTGGGCCACCACATTGCTCAGGAGCCTGATTCCTGCCTGATACGTCCTTAGTAAAGGAGCGGGGATACAGAAGGAGGCAGAGAAGGGTGCCCAAGCCCACCCCACCCACTGCCATCCAGTCAGTTGTGACAGAGCTGTGGGGAAGACGAAGCCTGAGCCCGGCACCTGCTGCCTTGGCTGAGGAGGGTGTGGATCACCTTGGCATGGGTGTTGAGCAGCTCGAACAGGGCCATGACCAGGGCCTCCACAGAGACGCTGCCACCACGGTACTCATGCAGGTAGTAAGCCATGGTGGTGCGCTCCTGCTCGGTCAGCAGGTGTCGGGCCTGTTCCTCCAGCAGGACGCGTGTCTGATTCCCTAGGCTGCTCAGGGTCACCTGGGAACCAGCCGGCCCCTTGTAGAACCCCAGCTGGAAGACAGAAAACCAGAGGCCCTAGGAATTCTGAACTGTTCTGCAGCCAAGTGGCCAGGCCCAGCCACTGAGGACACTCAAAGTGATAATGGATAGAGTCCTGGTGTGGCACTGCAGGATAATGCTCTGGATCACAAGGTCGGTTTGAATCGCAGGGTCGGCAGTTCAAGCTTACTAGCTGCTCCTCAGAAACCCTATACAGAGTCGCATGAGTTGGGACCAACTTGATGGCCCTTAACAACAATATATTTTTATGGAGCTCTGTGGTTATGACTTGGGTTGCTGGGCTCAAGGTCAGCAGTTTGAAACTACCAGCTGTTCTGTGGGAGAAAGATGAGGCTTTCTGCTCCCATAAAAATTTAAAGATTTAAAGCCTCAGAAACCCTATATAGGATCACTGTGAGTCAAACTGACTCTACAGCACATAATTTGTGAACACCATATATATAGTGTTGTTGTTGTTAAGTGCCATCAAGTCGGTTCTGACTCCTAACAACCTATATAAGGTTTCCAAGGAGCAACTGGTGAACTTGAATAGTTGCCTTTGTGGTTCAAACTGACTTTGCAGTACAGCACGATGATCTGCAGCACTACACCAGGAAGCTATATGTGTGTATCTATATATAAATATTCTCATCAGATCTTAGTAACTGTTAGGAGACAAGCAACCATCACAGATCCCATTTCCTTCTCTAAACTTCAGCGTCTCCCTAAGCTAGAGATAATCATAAAGCTAGTTGTCATTGAGTCGATTGCAGTTCATGGTGAACCCACGTACTCCATAGGGTTTCCAATGGCTGATTTTTCAGACAAAGATTGCCAGACCTTTCTTCAACATCACTCCCGAGTGAATTCCAACTCCAGCCTTTTGGTTAACGACATTAACCATCTGTATCACTCAAGGATAGACTTTGGAGATAATATAGTGCCTATATTCCCCAAGGAGCTCTGGTAGCATAGTGGTTACGAATCGGGCTGCGAACCGCAAGGTCAGCAGTTCAAAACTACCAGCTGTTCCACGGGAGAAAGATGAGGATTTCTGCTCCCGTAAAGATTTACAGCCTCGGAAACCCTGTACAGGGTCACTGTGAGTAACAATCGACTCCACGGCACATAACAACAACAACAACATTCCCCAAACAGGGGATCTCAAATGTATACACACACTCCCCTGTACCCCTTTTCCACCATGGCCTGTAATCATCAGCCTTGTCTATACCATCCAGTCTCCGTTCTGGTCCCCCATGTGATCTGGCCATTGAACACCTCTGATGTCATCTTACTCCTATCGCTTCCTCACTTTACTTTTACCACACTCTACTTTCTTTCGTTCTTCCAACAAGCCCTTTTTCTACCTCAGGGCTGTTGCACATACTGCTCCCTCTAACAAGCTCGTTCTCCCTTCTCCAGCTTGGCCTCCCTAATTTCTACTGACCATTCAGTTCCAGCTCAAATGCAATGTCACTGCCTCAGAGTGGTCTTTCCCCTCTCCCCTGCCCCTCCCTCACCTATCTAGAGTAGGTACCTCACCTAGATTCTCTCATCATACCCAGCACCTGGCTTTGATGGCACTGAGCATCTTTTGCAATTGAATTCTTTGTTGTTTGGTTGATTTTTATGTGTGTCTCCCTCACAAGGGCAGGCAATGGTTCTGTTAGTCCGTTCACTGCAGTTACTTGGAGAGCTGGGGCAGTGCCAGGCCTGCAAGCCCTCACAGACACGTGGCATAGGGGGTGATGGTCTGTCACTGAGTGCTCAACTGAGATGACTTTGCCTGTCCCAGACCCCCAACCAGGGGAGTCAGGAAGAAGTCCCAGGCACACCACGATGGAGAACACCCTACCTTGTTCGTCCTTTCTGGTGTGAGGTCCCCAGGAAACCTGCGAAGAAAAGCAAGCATCTTCAGCTGCAGGTCTGAGCAGATTCACTAGGAAGGGGCGAGGAGCACAGTTCTGAGGGCTGGAGGAACTTCACTTTCTCCATATCAGGAGTGAACCATGTGGCCTTGTGACCTCCTACTTGCTACCAAGTCAGTTCTGGGGCTACTCCTGGTAGATGAGCCCCTGCACAAGCAGGACAGCTCTGTCTTTCAATCAAATACGTGGACAGGATTTCAAGAACCACACAAGCCCCAAGCCTACAGCATCAGGCAAGTAACGCATGGAGAGAAGAGAAGAGCTGGTGACTGACAGGTGGCCTCAAGATCAGGCCAGCGTGAGGGAGGGTGGGAGATTCACGTGAATGAGAGAGGAGACAGCTGCTGCTCAGCTCCAGCTCTTGTTCTAATGAAGAAAGGTGGGCTCAGGCCACATTCCTAATTTTTAGGAAGAAGCCAGAAATCCAGATTTTTATGAGAAATCTAAGTTTTGGAGGGACTCCTGGTGTGGTGCTATGGGATAAAGTACTGAACGGAAAGGTTGGTTTGAACAGCAAGGTCGGCAGTTCAAACTCACCAGCTGCTCCTTGGAAACCCTATACAGGGTCGCTATGAATTGGGACCGACTTGATGGCACTTAACAACAACAACAACAACAACGAGATGTTCTGGGGAGTGTGGTGGCTCCATAGGATAGTCACTGGACTGTGAACAACAAGGCCAGTGGTTCAAACCCACTAGCCACTTTTCAGGAGCAAGATGAGGCTTTTTGCTTTTACAAAGATTTACAGCCTTGGAAATCCTATACAAGGTTGCTATGAGGCAGAACCAAGTCCATGGCACTTAACAACAACAATGTCTTTTAAAATGTTGACAATTAAGTTTTTGAAATTATAATACTGCGCAGGTCAAAGGAAGAAGGGAGAGAGAGAGAGAAGGGATTGTATTTAGCTAGCAGACCATCAGTTGGAGTCTTCTAATGGAAACCAGAATAATTATACAGCTCAATGGAGTCTGGGTGTAGCACTGTAGGATAAGCACTGGACTTCCAACCACAAGGTTGGCTGTTAAAACCTAGTAGCCAAACCCCATACAGGGGGTCTATGAGTTGGAACCAACTTGATGGCACTTAACAACAACAACACACAGCCCACAACAATTCTACCTCATTTCATGCCCCCTAAAATCCTTTCAAGGAGCTCTGGTAGCATAGTGGTTTCAAATCGGGCTGCTAATCTCACAGTCAGCAGTTTGAAACTATTGGCTTTTCCGTGGGAGAAAGATGAGGCTTTCTGCTCCTGTAAACATTTACAGCCTCGGAAACCCTGTACAGGGTCGCTATGAGTCAGAACCGACTCCACGGCACATCACAACAACAAGAAGATCCTTTCGCTCTAATGTGCTCAGATCTGTGGCTGGGACGGGGGCTATGATCTCTACTTGTCAGATAAAGCAACTGAAGACCAGAGTAAGTTTTATACAAGGCATACAGCATACGGAACACAATTAATGTTACTGAATTGTTAAAAATGTTGAAATGGCAAATGTTTAGTTACATACCAGGCAGGCGCTTCAAAAAGCTCGAGGGAAAACTCCATTATCTTTTAATTCCATTTTTTCTACGAATGTTTTGAAGCCCCCTCATATATATTTAGCACAATAAAATAAATGTATTAAAAATAAAAGAATCAGGTAAATGATATGCCTGAGAGCAAATAAAGAATGCACGCGCAGGAACAATCATCGATCGAGAGGGGATCATGTATTTCACCTTGCCATGGGGAAACTGAGGCCAGGAGGGGGAAAGGGATGTGCCCAAGGTCATATTGCCCTCGCCCTCCCCCAAGCACTCTGGGATCCTGGGGTTCAGAGTGAGCAGTGGCCAGACCCTGTGGAGTTCATGGTGGTCTCCCCAATTCGGGAACTGGCAATCCATTTGGTCTCGTCCACAGTGGTGCGGGCATGGGGCAGCCTCCCAACGTCCTTCACTGTCAGGATGAGGTGCTGGGACAGCTTGAGCAGCTTGACGGCCTCATCATGCAGGATGTTCAGGAAGCTCCGCCCATTCACCTCCAGAATCTGGTCCCCAACCTGCCAAGACCATTGCAAAACACAGTCAGCTGGGCTGTTGGAGTCCTGACCTCATTCTCCTCCAAGACAGTCTGCTGAGGCTCAGAGAGGTTATATGGATGCCTCAGGGTCACACAGCAAGTCAACAGCAGAGCCAGCTTTCTAGTCCTAAGCCTGTGCCCAGGCTCCGGTTACTAGAAGGGCCACCTTACCAAAACCTAGCAACAGCTGTGAGGTCTACAATGACACCGCCAGGTGTCCTGTTATCAGAGAAACAACAGTCATCTCAGGACGGGGTGTGTGTATGTTGGGGAAGGGAGGAGGTTGAGGTTTGAAGGCAGACTTCCGTTATTGTCCTTCTGCATGTCGACATTGTTGCGATTTTATTTTACCATGAGCATACTGAAAGTGCCATGGACTGCCAAAAGAACCAATAGATCCATTTTGGAAGAAGTGCAGCCAGAATGCTCTTTGGAGGCCAAGATGTCCAAACTTCATCTCTCATACTTCGGACATGTTGTCAGGAAGGACCAGTCACTGGAGAAGGATATCATGTTTGGTAAGGTGGAGGGTCAGAGAAAAAGAGGAAGACCCCCAATGAGATGGTTTGGCCAAGTGGCAGCATCGATAGACTCAAGCGTGGCAACAGTAGCGAGGTTGGCCCAGGATTGGGCAGTGTTTTATTCTGCTGTACATAAGGTTGCTATGGGTCGGTATCAACTCGATGGCACCTAACAACAACAACAACAACAAATGCATGTTTAAATGATCTTGAAGTGTGAATAGTATTTTAATTTACTCAAGAAAAAAGCAATAAATAAACTCAGAAATTTATGGTCCTCTAATTGTGGACTTCTGGTGTGGTGCTGTAGGATCAGCGCTGGACTGTGAATCACAAAGTCGGCAGTTCAAACCTACCAGCTGCTCTTCAGAAACCCTATACAGGGTTGCTATGAGTCAGAATCAACTCAACAGCACTTAACAACAACAACAGCCATTTTTGACAAGGGTGCCCAGTCCACTCAATGGGGAGAGAAGAGTCTCTTCAATAAATGGTGATGGGGAAATTGAATTTCCACATGTGGAAAAATGAAACAGGATTCTAGCCTCACACCATACACAGAAACAAAATCACAATGGATAAAGTACCTAATGTGCGAACTAAAACCATAATGTTCGGGAAAAAAGGCAGGGACAAAGCTGTTGGACCTAGCTTTCAACAATGGATTATCTCATACAATAACAAAAGCACAAACAGCAAAAGACAAAATAAATGAGATCTCATACAAATGAATAATTTTGGTTCATCAAAAAGACTATTGAAAAAATGAAATAACAAGCTACTAACTGGGAGAATATCTTTGGAAAGCATGTATCTAACCGGAAGCCAATAAAACAAAATATACATAAAAGTTCAACAACTTAACAACAAAAAGGTAAATAACCCAGTCATAAAATGAACTTCTGGTGTGGCACAGTAGGATAAGCACTAGACTGTGAACCACAAGGTCGATGGTTCAAACTCACCACTGCTCCTCGGAAACCCTGTACAGTGTTGATACGTCAGAATCAACTCAACATCACTTAACAACAACAACATGGACAAAGGACTTGAATAGACATTTCACCAATGACCATTTTCAAATGGCCACCAAACACACGAAGAGATGACCATTAATCACCAGACAGACGCAAATCAAAACCGCAGTAAGATACCATTTCATCTCCACTAGGACAGGCTCCTGGTGTAGCGCTGTGGGATAATCACAAGGTTGGCAGTTCAAACCCACCAGCTGCTCCTTGGAAACCCCATTTAAGATCGCTATGAGAGGCAACTGACTTGACAGAACACAACAATTGTACAATTTGGCAGTTATGTAATGGGTCCCCCCCGCTCCCCATGATGTGATCTGATGAGATAAACCAATCCATTGTAAGCATACTGAGGGTATAGGAGCAGTAAGGGGGAAATGAATCTATGTGAATGGAGTAGGATTAACTCAGAAATGAGGCATGAGAATGAGTCACTGTCGCCAGATGGTACTGCTGAGTTGGTGTGTGTTTTGCTATGTATGTTCTCAACAACAACAAAATAAATAAAAATATATAAAAGGCGCCAATAAACTAGAAAATTAGCCTTCTCTTAAATAATAACATATTGTCGTGATTGTTCAGTGCTGTCAAGTTGGTTCTGACTCCTAGCGACCCTGTATAAGGTTTCCGAGGAGCTGCTGGTAGGCTTGAACCCTGACCTTGCAGTTCACACCAACCTTGCTGTCCAGTGCACTATTCTGCAGGTGTGCCATAACACTGCTTGGTTATAAATGGGGAAAACCTTCTAATAAAATTAATGCGACAGACACAATACGAGATGGGCATGTCTGAGAGACTTGCCACATGTTTAACCTCTGATCTAACTTCCCTCCTGTCACAGTGGATGGGGGTACCGAGACCTGGGTCACACCTCAAGGTCAAGTCCCATTGTGGCCTTGAGGGGCAGCCTCATATTGCCAATTATCCATGGCTGATTTTCCTTCTCTCAGCTTCTCAGCCTGCTGATGGCACATGATCATCTCCACTGGGGTTTATCCAGCATTTTTCAAAGCAAGACTTGGAAAAGGTGGGCCAAATGGGAGTGTGGAAGAAAAAAATGTAATGACGAGGCTGAGAACCAAAACTGTGTCTCTGGTTTCCTATCTTCAAGCTGGGGGTTTCCAGTAGAGAAGGTGGTTAAAGATTCAGACTACCCTCCTCCCCTCAAGGCTGCATCACCTCCACAGGCCCAGACACCGCGGATGGTCTGCCAGGCATTTAGTGGATTCAACAGTATTTACTGCACACCTGCCAGGGGCAGGGGTGCCATACTGAACAAGGTAGACCTGGCCATTGTTGAAATGGGGGAAAGGCATTATACAGTGGGCTCAATTTTCTGCTGTAATTGGGTTTTTCCATCAGCCTCTCCACGCTGTATCCCCGCAGCCTGACACAAGGGCCTGGCATACGGGGATTTCAAGCCCTATTCCTCAAAGGAATGCAAAGTTAGGCTTCACTCCAGTGGGGACAAACACCTTACACCAGTCTGGAGCCTTGTATTTCAAGCCACTGTTTACTAGGTCGGACTCCTGGTGTAGTGCTGTAAGATCAGCACTGGACTAGAAACCACAAGGTCAGCAGTTCAAACCCACCAGCTGCTCCTTGGAAACACTAGACAGGGTCACTATGAGTCAGAACTGACTCAATGGCACTTAACAGCAACATTGACCAGGTACCAACTGTCTGCCAGGTGCCTTGCTGGGCCTTTCCACATTCTCCCTTATTTAACGTCTCCAACATCTTACAGAGGAGATTTCATTGCGCTCCAGAGATGTTCAGAAAATACTGCACAGTCACAGCTAGTGAAGTGGGTTGCTGGGAAGCAAACTCAGGTCAGGCCAGTCCAAAGGCCCATCTGTCTTCTTGGCTGCTTTCAGGAACTCTGTTTGGGGCCCATGTGGCATTGCTTCAAAGCCAGCATATCTAAAATCACCCTGAAAATCTGGCTCTATCACCAACTCTGCCTCTACTCCTGTAAAAGATCTTTCAGCAAGTTCCATCTCATCTTCACCCTTCCTCCAGCCCTGCCAGCCCCCTACCTAGGTCCCCACCTGTCCACACCTAGGTCCTTGAGCTAGCATCCCTCCTCGCCAAGTATCTAAACTGCCCTCAGACATAGAGCCTCCAACATTACTCTCCCATATACACACAGTCCAGGAGGCAACACACACTATGGTTAAGGGTTTCTGACCATCAGATCCAGGTTCAAATCCTGGCCCTAGTCCAGGATGATCTTGTCATCTGAAAATTTTTAGTTATGTTACCTGATGTCCTGTCCTTATCCGAGCCACCAGCCACAGTGTCTAATTAATTCTCTTTCTTTCTTTCTGTATCATGCGCTTCCTACCTGAGAAACCCAGCCTAAGAATTTAAGCAGTACTTACTGGCTGGTATCCTTGTACCCACGGGGAGACCCAACACCTGGTTCAGGGCTTGACACACAGCAAGGGCTCAGTCAGTGCAATACAATGAAGGTTTGGATTTTGCCAGTTCCTACCTTCCCTCTACAGCTCACTTCTCTCCTCTCTCCCAGAGGCCTTATGATGCGGTTACAGCAGAGCTGTAGTTAAGGCAAGCATCCTCAGGCAATCTGGTCTTCCCAGCTGGGCCCATGTGCACCCAATTCATTAACCATCCTCTTGTGTGTCAGGTCCACCTCTCCCCTCCCCTGCTGCCACCCTCTGCCTTGAACTACAACCAAAGCTGCACTTTTTTTTCCCCATCCAGCTCAAGTACTTTGTTTTCTTTAAGTATCACCCTCAATTGCTTTGGCTTTTGTTAAGCTAAAGGAATCAATTTTAATCTCCCCCACACCCTTTATTTCATCCAGGCAGTTTAATTAAAGGAACTACAGTCTAAGAGACCAGCTAAGGGAGGGCATCCTTCTGTGCTAGCCTCCCCCACAGGTCCAGGTCCAGACATAGGGAAGAGACAGCTCAATTCTACAGCATCTTTCTGACCCTTTATGGTCAGTTTAGGGGGTTAATTAAGACTGCCAGGCAAAATACAGGTCACCCAGTTAAAAACGAGCTTCAAATAATCAACAAATGCTTTTTTTTTTTAGTATAAACAGTCTCAAATAGGGAACATACGTACATTAAAAAATATGTGTTGTGTATCTGAAATGAAAGTTTATAAAGTGGCTATCCTATTGTCTTACAGTTTTATTTGCTAAATTTGCAAATTGGTTATGTAATCAGTAATGTCTGGGGCTGACATATTTTTTTCCATTGTGATGTGGGTAAAAGTTTACAGGACGAATTGGTTTTCCATTCAGCAATTCATATACACTTTGCTTAGTGACACTGATTGCAGGTCCCACAATGTAACAACACTCTTCCCCACTTCCTTGGTATTTACCATTTCCCTTTGTTCCCATCTTCTGAGCTTCATCCCTGGAATGTGCTGCGCTTTGATCTCCTATAGTT